GGATCACGACATGCAAAGGTTAGCTTTGGTACCAACAGGCCTGCAATTCAGGTTAAAAGAGGACACTGCACACTAGGATTTGCAGACTAAGTAGCCTGTGTACGATAAGTGAAAGCAGCTTTTAGCCAACAGGTCGGCCAGCAGGACAGTTTGCCCATGACCGGCTGCACCACCGCATGTGTGCCCTGGGACATCCCCTCCAGCCAGTAGCCACTGTCCTGCAGCATCTCTGCTGGCAGCCAGAACCTGCCATCTTTTGATAATCACGCTTTTCATTATTTAATGCATTAACAAGGCAATTGAAATCAGTATGAATAAAAAAGGGTTTGTGTGTTTTTCGTATGATCACTGTCATCTATCCAAAAGGAGTTTTCACGTTCTAATGTTTGCTTTGCACTGTTACAGCAACTAGCCCAAAGGGGCCTGGATGTTTGTTCGTGTTTTCCCTCTTCTCTCTCCCTAAAACAGACTCCCCTGTCCTCTCATCTTTCCATAAACACACTTTATCCACAACTATTACGTTGATTGAAGCTAGAATGAAATGTGGCTGTTATTTCACCAGAGACTTTACTGCCTTGCATTCGACCTGATAAATGGCATGACCGTAAGGCTTTGTCCTGTTGCCTTCACTATATCTAGCTTATGAACCTATTTTCATTATAGTTACAGATGACTGAAAAATAATGACAAGTCAGGTGAAATTTTGCAGGGAAATTGCAAACATTTTTGACTACTTTGCAGCTTTCCACTGACATTTTAGAAACGTCCAGCCAACTAGAGAGGAGGTCAAGATGTATGTCCTCAATTTTATGACATGAAAATATCTGCCTGCTTTTTGCCAAAATAATGAAATTAATTATTTAATGCATTTTACAGTTTTCACAGACCTGCGATTTCCAGTTTCACCAACTTCACAGACCAGTTACTAAAGTCTAGGCTTTGTAACCCATATCAGCCTCTCAACAGAAGGCATGATTTGACTCTTTGATTTACATAAAACATATCAGATTTTCATCATCTCTCTTCAGAGAGAACAGAGTCTGTAGATATTTCACGAACCAAGGCCAGCAGAAAAGGAAAAAGCAATTCATTAAGATAAATTTAAATATTTTTAGAACGAAATATTGATAGGGAAAAAAAAATGGAAGGAGGCAGTATTACTTAGTCTGCAATGCTCAGCTGTCCCACTGGAAGTGTCAGTGGCAACTTTAGTACTGCCTAAAAGGCCTGAAATAACCACTACATATCATAAAATAACGCTACGGTTGTTTCCCTCTCCATCTTCAAAGCAGCAAACTGAAGAAGGTGAGTCCCACCAGGGCTGCACAGGGGCAGCAGTTACAGCTCTCCCCACTCCTGAGGCCGACACCAGAACCTATGCTGAGTGCAACGCAGACATATGCAGACCGGGAATGCAACCCAGGGCTGCTGGTCTTCCCAATTTTAAAGATTACTCATTTGTAGAGTCACACGTTAGTAATTTTCTTTAAGCGCACTGAAGTAGAAACTAACTCAACACAACTCCGGTGAGCCAATTTCTCACAGTTTCTCCTTGCGGAAAGAGTTGATAAACCTGAGCCGCAAGATTGCCTATGAGCCCTGAAGGCTCTCCATCACACCCGATACCTCCTGATAGCTTTATTTGACGATTTGGCAAAACATCAACAAGAAGTTGATACTAGAAAGAGAAATTTAATACCAGTGCTTGTGATTTATGAAATGCTCTAACTATTACAGGTTTCACTTGCAGTTTTGCTAGTCCGCGAGACGATACGTAATTCAAGCTCGCCCCCCAGTGGACTCCATGCCCAAACCAGTACATCAAGTTTTGAGCACACTGGTGAGAAGTATCAGGGACCCAGACAACAGCATACTTAAAATAACTAGGAGTTACTCGACGAGAATGAAATGCAACCACTACTGTCTATAATATTTTGTTTCCGTTTTTAATTAAGATTAAAAGCAGTATACCTTCCAACCAACAAAGTTGTTCATCCTGTCAAAATACCACATTGTTTTTCCTCCTGTATCCAAATGACTGTGAATGCTTTAGTGGCTATGCATATATAGTAAATAAAAAAAAAAAAGTTCTCAAACACATCCCACTTAGGTAAACAATTGTCAGCAAGATCAGCCTCCCTAAAAGAAAAAATAATCTAGATTATGCAATGCTGAGTTTCTGTGATCTTTTCACAGAAAGTTTCCTACTGAAACTTGCTCACCCTTGCGTGCCTAGCTGTCATACTTCATTTATACTTATCCAAAACTGCACTAATTACTGTGGGTCATATGTGAATAATTAACTTCTTTTGCCTGAAGCAAAAGTAAAGGCCAAGATAAAAAACGTAAGGTGAGATTAATACACAGAGTACGCTCATGGGCAGTGCTACATGTAAGTCTGAATATACCAACTTCTTACCAAGACCTGAGAAATGTTCTGTAAAACACATTTAATCTTAACAGCATGATACAGATTTTCTCACTGGATCCATCAGTGCTCACCTTCTCTCTAGACTACACCTCTTACATTACAGCAGGCATGAAGACATGACACTATAAAGCAGTTAACAGCTGACCATTTAATGAAGGTTTTTGATTTGATGTTATTTTTCTTTTGTCCCTGAAGGAATAAACCAACATCCAACATGACTGTAAAATATTTCAGGCAGCTGCCTTTTGAGGCAGGGATTCATTTCAGCTGGCTAATAGCCCAGTAGGTATTTGGGCTTCCTCTGTATTCAGCAGTGAAAGAGAAGCACCTCTGCAAGCCAATCCCTGGGTCTACCTGAAGAGGGAATAACATGCCCCAGAGGTGCCAATCCCTCTTCTCTGACTACCCAGAGATCCCAGACAGATAGCATAGCCTAGACACCCACCTGCCAGGGAACCAAGGCTGGGGAGATGGATCCTACGATTACGGCAGGTACAGAAACTCCCTTCATGCTGCTGGAGAGTTACAGCTGCAAAAGCTGTAATTACCAACACCATTTCAAGCCTTCAGTGCCTAGTTTTGAACATCCTAAGAAGTGCACAGCGTCAGATTTGGTGGTATGCACTCTCTAACACTGATTTTGGCACATTACCCACAAGTGCTGGTCTGCCATGAAATCACTAATGAATTACAGACTCATGACAAATGTGGTTCTCAGTTTTTTAAAACGTCACGGCAGAGAATAGCTGTCTGTATTTCTGGCCAACTTGGGTGTGACATTTCTGAGGTTGTTCACGTCTAGTTTTGTAACTCAGCTCCTTAAACGACGCTTGCTTATACTCCTGGGCTGGTCACCAGTCTTGCAAGCTAGAAAAGAGTGACCTCCCTATGGTGTAAGTGGTAATACCACGTAAGTTGTATTTTTGCTTCAAACCAAACAGTCTACTGTTCTCATGCCTCTGCTGGGCTCTCTGCCTTCTAATCTGCTACAGTCATATAATGCTCACATCGTGAGAGACAAGAATAGGGAAACAACTTAGAAATCAGGGCAGGGAGAAGGAAAGGGACAGAGTAGGGTTAGATTGGGATAAAAGAAGTAAAACAAGTATGACAGAGGACAAGGTGAAAGGGTAAGGGTATATAAAATATATCAGAATGGTAGGAATGAAAGACCACACGGAAGACGGGAAAGAACAGAGAACAGGAAAAAGAATCAAGCCATGATAAATCAAGACAGAGAAGGCACAAGCATTAATGGGAAGATATGAAGAAACTAGAATAATTGGCCTGGAGGGAAATGTAATGAAATTCCCAGATCACCAGAACATTTCTGCTGTCTAAGGAAGGGACTCTTACCTTACAAAAATTGGTTTAGTAGGGGGTATTAGGATGGAGCCTTGTTCAGTATTCCTCTCAACAAAAGTCCTACCAACCAAAAGACATATTGGAAAGAGTGATGGAAATGTGGCCTCATTTGAAATGGAGAAGCCACCACTTAATTTTTTTAAAATAGTATCTCATACTCTTTAGAGTACATCTCACCACAGAAAGTGCCAGCAGATTCTCACCAAAGAACAACATGGTGCTACATGCTGGATAAACACCATTTTTTCTCCAAGGAGTTACAAGAATGCTGAAGTACATTAAGAGCAGAGAGATCAATAAATTTAATTTAAGCAAATCAGCAGCAGAGTAAGGAAGAGTACCGAAACTCAGAGCATTCTGTGCACTGCCTTTCTAGCCTTCCAAGCAATCCCCTTTTAAATTGTTCTTGATGACTTCAAATTGCTGCTCCTGAGTTTATCCACAATAAAATTACAACAATTACACATCATTGCTTCAGCTACACTTACATGCCTGTCATGTAGACTAGTAACAGTCCATAAAGTTAATAAGGACACCAGGTATTGATTAAGTGTTAAGTATCACCATTAAAGGAGACCCAGCTCATCCAGGCACCTCTCTTGCATCTCTTGCAGGGACCTAGTGCAACCTATTCTCGTGAAGTGACTGACTTCCCTTTGCAGAATGTGGTAAGTGTCTCTGAACGCCTCCAGAAATACTGAGGTCTTCAGTTTACACTTGAATTGAACCGAAGGCATTTAGTGGCACCTAGCATTCAAAGGCTACATCCGTAAAAGCAAATAGTAGTTTAATAGGAGCAAGTCTGTAGAGTGAAAAAAATGGTACTGAAGATCCATGTCCACATTGTAAGTTTTTCTTGAGGGTTTTCTTTGGACTAGCTCTGGTTGGTCCCAAGTAACGACCACCTATTGTTTGTTGAAGCATAGTAGGTATGTCCCTGGAGGCCACTTTTCTCTTTAGTTTCATCTGAAAGGAGTCTGTTTGTGCTGACGCCACTCTTGTGCTGGTATGACAGGGAAGTTCAATTCAAAAACATGTTCTTGATCTGCACCAGAATGCCAATGCTGATGTACCTGCAGACATCTCTGTTATTTAGGCACAGGCCTTTGGCTTTTAGTGTAGGATGACGAGTTCAATACGTCCTAAATTAGGCAGAAAGGAACCTGTTTGTCTTAACCATGGTACACAGTGCCAGCAGTCTTACCTGTGTGCGTCCTCCGGTGAGCCTTCAGGTGGGAACTTTTTGTGTATACTTTGTTGCATCCCTCAAAGTCACACCGATGGATGCGTCGCTTCCTGGAGTCTGGAGACTCAGACCTCCTCTGACGCCTTGTGCTCTCAATACTGAATGGTGAAATTGAACTAAAAAACAGAACAGAAGCAAAAAAATTGAAGCAAGAGCATGGTGTATATCCTAGGCCCCAAAAGATCAGCTATAACATATGACTGTGCCAGAAGTAATCTTAACAATTAATTATTTCCTTTTCTACAATGTAGTCCACAGCACATATTTGAAACAATTTGTGCTTGAACTAGAGTGTATTTTGCAGTATGAAATAATGCAAGTCTCAATTTAGAAGTGCTTATTGCCAGAGGAAACACCACAATCCTTGAAATACTGCCCCAATAATGAACTAGCATGACTTTATCTGAGCTTTACTGCTATTTTACACGTGTCCAAATTCAAGCTCACTGAACCCTGCTTTCTAAACAACTTTACATATAGCCTCCGTAATTTCTCTTTGACAAGTTTAAATAGATAAAAGTCCTGAAACCTTTTAGGAAAAAAGGTTTCCAGTACCCAGATCTGGACTGTGGATCCTTGCATTTGGCCAAACACCTGTTGTTTGCTCACATACAGATTGCTAAGAGATCCGTATCACCCGGCAGCAGCTATTTTTCCATTTCCGTATTTAACAATTCTCAGTCTATCACCTGCAAGTCAATGAATTTTATTTCCTTTCAGACCACTGATAAATAAGAAGTTTACTAGCAGAGGGCCAGTGAACAGTCCCCAAAGAAATGCAAATGCTCATCAAAGATACTCCATTTACAGCAATGTCCTAAGGCCTATCAGTTATCTCAATTTCAAGCAATTAAAAATGTAAAGTTGAAGTCATATTGCTTAAGATTCTAAATGCAGTGCATACCAAGTCTAATACCTGAAGCAAGCCTGCTACAACAATGCACTTGCCTTGGTTAGATAAACTTGTGTCATAAACTATTATGAAGCTGGTATGCCAGGATCCCAACCCTCACTGACTTCCATTAATTATATTACCCAGTTATAAATCATTATTAATTGATCGCCTTATCAACCCCATTACAGTTATACTGCACAGCAGTCATGTTCACCTACAGTTATATTAGCCTGTTCAGTTACTTTTACTGGAACAACTTTGGCCTTCTACAAGTTTCTGGGGCTTCCCCTACATTCCTTGGGTTTATTGACATTCAAGGTAAATGATCTAGAGATTCATCAGCCAGTTCTTTTAAACTCTTAAGATGAAAGTTTCTGGTTCTCCTGAAAGAATTTGTGACTGTCAAATGAAAATGAATCGGAGGAGAAGCAGCTGAATCTGATCACGAAAAGAACTCAGCACGAACCTTTGGGGAAGCTAAGATACTAAGAAAGGTATTTGAAAGAAGCACCGATGTTGATGCATCTGCTGAGAAACTCTTGTGTCAACACCAGTCTGCCACCTTCTGTTACAATCGCCATTGCTGTTACAGCTATAGCTGTTCTGGCATAAACTTCACTTCTAGAGATTTCCAGAATTTGCTGAGGACTATTTCTATTGGGTTAAAACTTTGCATAAAGCATCTCGCACCATTAGCATGTGATTTCACTGATGTTCCAATTCTCTGCATACAATCTTTAAGCCTTGTATTAATGGTAGTCCAAATTAAACATTTTTCTTTTTGTTTAAATATTTTACTGTACAACTCAAATTTAAAACTCAATTTTAAAAAAAAGGAGTACTATCTTTCTGACAACCCTCTTTTTCTCTTAACACTTGATATATATTCATATTTCACTTTCAGGCAAAGAGATTTTCCAGATTAATTATTTTTGCCTATAATATGATGCGTGCAAATGGGTGTGCAGGGAATTTCTGAAATGGAGAAAGAAATGGACAGAGGGCTGTAATATCAACATTAACTAGCAAAAAGTAGTCCCCAAGAGAGTAAGACACATCAGCACTTTATGTGACAGGAATACAGATATGTCTAGCTGTCACAGAAACGGCTTAGGAATTGCATTTAAGCATCTGCATCTCAGGGCAAATAAAAGTCTTGGGTACAGATGATTCACTGAGAATGGTCTTGCTACTCCATTATTTTTTTTTTTAAACATCCCACCAGCTAAAATAAAAAGCAAACATGTAAATCAAATCTTAAAGCTCAATACTGAAGGTACAAAATCCAGTGCTCAAGACCAGAAAAATCTTTACCTTTAAAAATAAATATTTGTGCATCTTTTTTGCTGCATGTGATTTATGAGCCACCTTAAAAATCTATTTTGTAACAGGGCGTTCAGATCCTGGATATTACAGCTCATTTAAATGGGAGGAGGATCAAGCTTATAATGCTGCTGCAATTTCCAGCCCCAAGACAAAACAAACCTTGAGAAGAGTCAGCACCTCATAAAAAGCTATTTGTCATGTACAAAAAAGTGATGTCACTGCTGGAAACTGCTCTGTGCTTTCCTGGGTATTTATACAGGAGAGGGTGGCATAAAGCAGTGCCGCAAAGGTGGCACACGATCAATGCTGCTGCTGCTTCTTAACTAGATTGCTCCCTCCTTCTACAAGGTGAAGCATCCTATGTATTCCATGCCAAGGAAAATAACCGAATAAGCCACAGAAGGTGACGTGCACTGTCACCATCCCCTGAGAGCTTCACAGCCATCGCTTGCTCAGTGTGCCAAGGAGAAAAGTTACTGTCAGCTGGAACCAGCAAATGTAACCTCATGCCTTCGTATGAGGCACGTAACCTAGTTGCCAGCTCTGCAGAAGTGCAGGCTAAATGACAAACTAAGCAGCAGAAGAGACTCAGGTGTAAAGCGAGAGCAAACCTCCAAGGTGACCTTCCTCTGTCACCCTAACTCCCACAGCGCAGGAGGACCCCATGCTGCAGACATGCTCACTAGTGGAAAAGGACCCAGATCCTACATGATACCACCAGCTTTGTTTTAGCCTTACATAAGCTGTGTGATTTTTTAAAATGAAGATACCATAGGAAGCCCTCAAAAGAGCACAAGGCGTTTTTTGAGCTTCCCGAGGTTAGCTGCTCTCAGAGTAACTTTCAGTTGATTTGCCAATGTTCTTTCCCTTGGCTGTGCAGCAGTAGAGAGACACCCTCCTCTTTCTTGAGCAATTTCTACAGAACACCCTCACTGATGAAACAAACATACGAGAGCCCTCAAAACCATGTCTTGTGCCGTTTAAAGATGTGGCAGGTACACGCCACCCCTTTCAACAACACCAGAAACTCCTCCACCGATGGACCCCTCGGTCAGGGGACATGAAAGGCAGGGTCCCTTGGTTAACAGACAGGGCCCTTAGCCAAACAAAAACCCCAGTCAAGAGAAGTTTCTAGACCACTGGTTATAAATGACCACAGATCGGATTTGACTCAGGGTATAAATGGAGCCCCGTTGGGGGGCCATGTGTAGTTGGTCCTCCTCGGAGCAGCACGTCTGCAGTCAGGGACTCTCCCCTTAGGCTGGGCTGCCGCCTAAGGAAACTCTTTGAGGTTGATAGCCCTCATCTTATAGGTGAGTGATGGCAAATTCTGGATTACCGTTCCAGAGTTTTGGAATCCCCTGAGCCATGTAGTAAATGAATTCCACGTGGTATCCTGAACCACTTGTTGGAGCGTAAGGTCATTTTGATGAAGAGCACATTTTTCTTTTTTATCCTTTTTTATCCTGATTTTCAACTTTGTTTAGACAAATAAATCCCCCTTTTGAGTTTGCCATCTGCCTGGTTTGACTGCATACATATAATCCTCTAGACATAAACCATTGATGAAGTCTGGGACTAGGAGTGGATCCAGCTGCACCTAGACTCCTCTGAGAGGAGGTTAGAAAGCAAGGGGGTCCTCTCTGAACCTCGTGACTCGATGGGAGGGTCTCCCCGACAGTTTTCTTTGAACGTGCCCTCTGTGCAGCAAATACTGGTGTGCCCCTGTGACAAAAGGCTATCAGAGTTCTGCCAGGTGGCTTTGGTTGGCACAGGGCTCCAGAAACTACTGTTTGATGGCATTATGGTGGAGAAAGGCTTTGAGGATGGACATGACAGAGAACTCACAGGTATTTATTTTTTTTACTGAGCTTTTTTCTTTTTGTTTACAATGTGTTTTAAAATAATGTAAGATAAATAAATTTAAAAAAACCCCAAACCAATATTACAGCAATATTACTGACTGTAAGTGTCCCTCACAGACAGCCCAGAGTGAAGACGTGGAAACACATCAGCAGCCGCGAGCTGTCAGGGTGCCCAGATGAGGAGTTGCCAGTTCTCCTGTCAACGGCCAAGATCTCAGGCAGCCTTAAGGCTCAAGGTGGGGTTTAGCAATAGGACTGACACCATACGTAACATCCCAGTGAAACTGCAGGATGTATCAAATTATTGCTGATTCATCAAGTTTGAAAGATAAATTAACAAAGAAAACTGGGTTCTGACCTGTCAGCTTGATATTTATTTACCTGCAGTTTGTTATTTCTTAAAACAGTGCAACTTCAATATTACTGTAGAAACTGTTACACTAACAGAAATCCTGGGAGACGGCTGGTTGCCTCCATAAGCAGCTGCAACACCTGTAGTCCGTACCGCTCATATGGTGACATGAATAAAACCAATGTGAGCATTTAGGGTGAGGTACAAAACTTCAGCTGTGTTATTTCCAGCTAGAAGTGAAAACATGCATCTCTGCAACTCACACATGGCCAGGTGCTTGTCTCTCCGACGCAGTAAAGTCTGCAAAGTAAAACAAAGACTGGGGCTTCGCCAGTAGATGGCCATCAAGTTCTGGCGAACAGCATCTGCGCTGCATGCGACAGGTTATAACAACCCTGGTAATGCAGGATTATTTTTCCTTTCTATGAACGCTGCCCATGACCTCCTAGGTGTTTCGCCTCTGTTCTACACACAGACTGTGAAAGGCCCTTCACATATGCAGTAACACGGTTAAACCCACGTGTAGTGGGTCTTTTTACACTGATCCTGTGTTTTCTGAGTGATATGCAGAGCAGAGCTGCCCAGGGAGCATGGTATGTTTATTAAAGCCTTGAACTGTGTTCAGTGCTACAACACACCAACAACAGGCCATGCGGTGACAAGTCACTGCACACTGGC